ACAGATAGCTAGATAAAAATCGGAAACTAATGAGAACACTGTTTCCTTGAGAGGACGCAGACGACAAAAAACAGTGCGACTTGCAGCCATGAGGCCGACTGCAGCCTTGAGGCCGACTGCTCCACTCCCTCTTCCCCTCCTCACTCCTCAAACAACTTGCAATGTCAAATAGCATCTGGCTTACCATATCACTCCAAAGCTTATAAAATCCACAATTGGCACGTTTATAGTCCAACGTGTTCAGCGCCAGATGTTCCGTCCATTGATTCCTCATGATGTAGGCCATTTGGACTAGACTACTCGCGATGAGGCTTTCTTAACAGAAGAAAACTTTCATTCGCTCCGCCCATTTTCCTTTTAGTCAATAAGAACTAACTTGACACTTTTCCATAGATATTTCTTTGGTAAAATATAGCGGAAATGATGAATAATGGCCAACAGGACCAGAGTGATACGTGATCGTACAAAATGCTTGAGATCGATGTCAAGAACTGTCGGATGCAGTTCCACACCGAAGCAGAATTCGTTTATGGTAGTGACTAAAATGTGCAATTACACGCAAAGGAAAGAGCACATTTGTGAGAGCTGAAAAAATGTTTGGAAAATATTGTAAAAAAAACACATTTAGAAGGTGCTAGTGTACTTGGAGAGCGATGAGGGCAAAACCACCCACGTCTACTCTCTGCTGAACTGCGCACAGTAACGTTAAGGTTATTGAGCTTGGGGCATGTTAGGGAAAGGGACCGTTAGGGAAAATATTTGCCAGGATACGACCCCACCCAATTCAAGCTTCCTTCCATTGGTACGACATCCCATTATGCCTACCATCTTCCCAAATTTTCACAAATTCCTGTCATTTTCCTGGGAGTTTTTCCTTCCCGGAGTTACTTCCGTTCCTCTCATGGTCACAAAGTGCCGTCTGAGCGGAAGCGGCATATACTAGCTCCGGCTGAAAGAGGAAAAAACCGATGAGTTCGCCATCACGGAAGCATCGCCCTCGAAGCACAATTCTACCCTCCCATCCAGCGGCCAAATACGACCCCGCTTGTTGTGGGATATCCAGGGTACGAATGGCCCTGCTGGGCGAGGGGATCGCACACTATCGCGACGCAATGGGATTGAGCAACGGCACATCAGCGCTAAATGGGCGTAACCTGGTTTAAAGTGTCCCCGTCCTATGTCCCTAGCACTATCATCAAGGGCTTATGGGGTTATGTTTAATGGTCCATTGAGCGGCATATTAGAGACCCAATGTACCTACCTGGACTGCAAATTTGAATCGTTGAGGCTTTTGTCAACCTTTTCACGATTGCGTTATATGTACTCTTGTCGCTAGAACTTATAATTTCATCATAGTTAGTCGGGGTTTGCCACCAGCCACACCTCCTCTGCCCATCCCTTCAGCCCTCAGCCCGACACCACATTTCTGAGAGAGCTTGGAAGGATGTGGAAGGTTGGCTACGGAAGGAGATCGTACCAGAGGAGAAAAATGGGGGGAGGGGGGTGATCTTAGCAATAGTTCTCCCAAGCGCCATGAAGTGCAGAGCCCAATTGCTTGTTACCAATCGCTACAAAAGTTGAACAGTGTCTACTCTGCGTTTCAACCCGTCTGCATCCCAGTTTGTTTACTACTAACTCAGTTTGTGACGTATTTGTGACGTATTTGACGGTAGAAGTGAGAAATTAATCTGACCATGGGTGGTTCATTCAAGACCTACCATTATAGTAATCTCCAAATCGATAATTGATTAACATGATAAGCCAAAGAGTCACACAGACGACAGCCATACATATGATGACTGATTCGAAGTGAATAAATAGCAGATCATTACGATAAATCCCTAGACCGCTGCCCATCACATACAGTAGGCAGAACAGCAGACATGAGCTGAAACCGTTCACCGGCTTTTTTTGATCACCTGAAAAGTTACCTCTGGGCAGATTTATTTACTTACGGTAAACGCTGTTATAATAAGCTCAGTAACATAGCAAGTGAGGGAAGCTTATCAGCGAGAGTGATCAGTAGTGCATTCATTTAGAAGTAGACTTCACGCTTGCGGAATGGGCGGAGTGAGGGCCATAATGTATCTTCCTCACAGGTGCGTGACTTTCTTCTAGGGCCACGACAAGGAAGAAAGCACCAGCAAGGAAGGCACAATGTCGAGTGTAACTCTGACTATGGTGAACATGGGATGTTTAATACTAACAAAGGAATACTGAAGGAATGGCTGCTTTTCCTCGGACAAAATTGAGGTAGGACCAGGACGAACTCAAGCTGCTCGCAGATGTGAGCCAAATGAGGCTCAGTAGAGCGTCGCAGGAAAGTGAGCGAAGCACAATGGTTGCGGACTGCATTGCATGCTCCAAGTCCCCTGGGCTGAACCTAGTTCCAGACCCAGGGGGTGGACAACCCATACTCACCCAGTTTTTGAAGGGGACAGGTGACAGCAATAGGTGGGAAAGAAGTCAGACCCAGCCTCTCC